CATACAGTGAAGCGGCATTCACGTAGCTATCAGCTCTTATTTTTAGAAGATTTTGTAAAAAAATAAGAAAAAACATTCTGTATGCTCAAATCTTAAAATCTTGCAAAAAAAAAAAAAAAAAATGGGTTGTGGATATTTAGACAGCGTGATGTTGATCAGCCATTCAAATGATGCGCATACGTCTACGCTATAGATGAGATATTTAGCCAGTGCAGTACAACTGGTAGTCTGGGTCATTCAAGGAAATATCAACGTCTCCTTCGGAAGTAAATTCGGAGCCTCGTTGACTTTGGACTTCAATCAAACTTTCTGTTGCCTCGGCTTCTGCCGCCACCGGAAGAGCGCAAACATCTTCATCTGTGCTAGAGTCCACAGGATCTATCAGGGAAACGTCATCGTCTTCGTTTGAAGTAACTTCGGAGCCTTGTTGACTTCTGGCCTCAATCAAGCTTTCGGTTGCCTCACCTTCTGTCGTCACCGGAGGAGCGCAAACGTCTTCATAGGTACTGGAGTCCACGGGATCTTCTTTGCGGTACCTTTCTAGTTCCCTCTGAGCGTTTTGCGCGATTCTTCTTTTCTGGCGATCGGACAACTCCGACAGCGAACGCTTAACGCGCTCCATTCTCCACAATAACAAGTAACAAAATACCACGTACCTTGTTTTGTGTTATTTGCAGGGAGAACGGCGATTGAACGATAGTGCAATGGTGACGATGGTGCGGATAGCGCTTTCAAAAGCCTCGGCCTTGCGCGGGAACACTAACGGCTGCGCAAACAAAAGAAAAGTGCTACTTCTGGCTATGGCTAGAGCACTATATAGCTCCTACGGAGCAGAGTAGCGCAATCCTTTGAACCCCGTGTTTTGCCGACAACATGGCCGACAGAGCAGCTCGGCGCGAGTCACGTGGTACTCAGGGTTCCAAGAGGCGGCCCGCCCTATGGGAGAATACATGGAGATCGACATAACACGGCTGATTAAAAAAATAACGGCGAGTTCACACTTTTCAAAACTAGCCTGTCGTGAAGTTAGTAAAGCGCTGAACACTCTATCAAAGTTTGAATAATATCGGATGCGTGTGCAAATTTTGAGAAGGCAATTTCCAGGGCAATGGCGTTTGAAGCAGACGATGTTTGCTCGCAGCGGAGATGGGCTTTTCGGGTTGGCCGGAGTGGGTCACGTGAATGGTGTGACGTCGCCGTGTCGTCTGCTGCATGATGCCGCTCAGGCAATTTTTTAAAAAAAGTTACGTCCTTGCATGGCACAAAACTTATCGCAAATTATTCTAAAATGTTTCATTATTATGTCAAAAATGATTGCCATTCCGTATATCCCCACAAAACTGAAAGAACAACGATTTTCTCACGTTCTCCATGCATTTCTGACCGCAGTTGGAACCTCCGGGCGTTCGCCGCTAGTCGCCGAGAGACGGCGTTCTAGATTGCGCTACTCTGCTCCGAAGGAGCTATATAGTGCTCTAGCTATGGCTAGAGACGAAAGGCCTAGAGCCGCTAGAGCCCGATAAAGTCCAGAATGGCCCCGCTTTCGATCATTTTATTAATGAACAAAATAAATAATTTTATTGTATATAGTACCAAATAACACGTATAATTTTTTTAATTATAAAATTGATTTTAATCACTTTAGAACTTTAGTCGATAATAAAGTTTGGTTATGTTGGTGAACATTGGTCGACGTCGCTAGGTGACGCAAGCTACCGCTCGTTACTAGTCGTTACAAAGGGTATTTATCTATCCATCTAGGCAGCGTACTCAAAATGGCAGCCGTGTTTTCCCGTTCTTCCTAAGCGTTTTTCCGATGACACCGATTGAGAACAGACGAAGTGATCCGCGTACAAGCTTTTCATCATCAGAAGTTTAAAAACTCAGGTTTACGAGTGCTACATCTGTGCATACTCTTTGATAGGCGCTTCAGATGTGCGAGTTCATATCGCGGGTGACGAAACTGTAGAACGGAAGCTCTGCGAGCGCTCTACACGGCCCTCGTACTTCCCATTTTGGACTGGAGTATTGCTCGGCGACCTGGTCCCCGCCCCAGCAGCACCTCTGGGAACGGCTCGAAAGTGTGCAGCGCCGTGCGACACGGATCATCTGTGGCACAGCGGACGGCTCGTACGATGCACGCCTGGTGTGGGTGCCCTTGGTCGGCGACCCCCCACGAGAGGCGACGGGCCTCACGGATGCGCGCACTGTGCCGGATGCTCGATGGACCGCTTTCCGGGATCTCGTTGTACTCCGCAGTGCGGACAAGCAAAAGAACTGGGCAGCCTGAGCCTCTCCGTGGGAGGACCACCCGCCACTGCTAGCTCTTCTCTCGCCAACTAGCTTTGAGCTCGTGACGACCAGTGACTTGCACCATTATTTTTCTTGTTGCTGTGTGTGCTTGTTTTGTTTTACCCTACTGAGTCCCCTTTCTCCTGTCTCCTGCACTGTAGGGGGCGGCCTGCTAGTAGGCGCATATGCATAAGGGTTATCACCTTCTTGTCTAGCCTTGCACGTCGTCGCATACACGTCAAATCCGTGTGCAAATAAATTACAATCGCAGTTACAATTACAGAAACAAAAACAATGGTGACAAATATTCCTGCACAACTATACACTGCATTGACCCTTGAATAAGGTGCAGCGAAGGCTACAGCCACTAGACCGCAGCTTTGCAGCGTGAGACGGCCCTTTGGACATGAGTGAGCGAAAGGGCACGTGGTGCATGCATCCTGCTTCGTGGGCACTTGCTCACTGGGGCCATTCGAAAGCTTTTGAGCTTGCTCGTGCTGCATGCAGGTGTAGCTCTACCAAAACTGAAGTGGCAATTGGGGAGACTGTGCATTCCGTTTACTATTTCTGATTACTGGGAGGCCATGCTCCGTCCATTTTAATTAAATATTCATTAGTTAATTCAGAAATTACTTCAGTAAAACCAAACTGCTACATCCATTCAATGGAGCCCTTTACACACAAAAGTACAATAGTTCCCAGACCATAGTCTGCAGACTATACATGCCTAAAAGTTAATATTTCACTCTGCAGACTATCTGCAGGTGCAGAGGATACAATACATTTTGTGTCTTTCGTTCTAGATATTTTACAATACAATATTTACAATATGTTTTGCTTTGCTGAAGTGAGAAACAGGTCATACTGTCAGTGTGTCGTCCAGGCCTTTGATGTCTTGGGGTTGACAGGCTGTTAGCTTAAGTGCCTCCAGGCAATCTTTGTTTGTCAAGCTTAATCCTCATGAGCTCTGTGATTCAGTTTGAATTTGCCCCTGTGAACTATACACCGAGTGGGGACTGTATAAGAAAAACACTTTTTTCGAGCCAAAATTAACCCTTGTGGGCTTCACGCCGGGTGCGGACGAAGAAATATTGTAGCGGTTTATTTCCTTAGGGCATTGAGACATTACAGAGTGGAGTGGACAGAAATATCTAATTGCAAACAAACACATTAAAAACTAAATCAAAATATTGTTAACAAGACCCCGAATTCATTATCACACTGCATCTTTAAATTCGGTGCAATCAGCTATGCCAGCGATAAGTAGGGGGGATGATTCTTGCCTAGTGATGACATAGGCGGGAATGACTGACAATAGGTGGAGGTGTGACAAAGGGGGATGTCATTGTGGTGGTGGATCTTATGAAATAAATACAGGCGAGATATGTTTCTGCAGACAGAAAGGCGTGTTGTCCTCTCAAGTTGCGGGATGTTTTTGTAACATTTTATAAGTTATCACAGATGCATCGCCTTAATGTTACCTTTGAAACATAGGCTCTTTGTTTCTGGATTATATTGCCCTAACATTTCTGCAGCAACATTTCAGTAACATACGTAAAAGTAGTGTAACGTTGCATCTCACTTGTGTAACATTGTGTTGATGTTTCGAAATAATGTTTTTGCAATATGGTTTAAGTAATATTGTCGTTACATTGTTACACGTTGCATAACGTTGCACAACATTAGCCACGTTGCAGTAACGTTCCTGCAACATCTCGTGCTACTAGGGGCGCATACGGCGCCACCTCGACGTGAACCTCTAGCGCCGCAGTATTCACGACGCCATGAAGATCGGGCGTACGTCCGCCCAGAACAAGCTGCTCCACGAAAGACCGACGTGTGGAGGACGGCCGATCGACGCCCGTTGTGCTACCACTGCGGGGAGGCCGACCATATCTACCGTCGTTGTCCCTACCGGCAAATGGGCCTGCGTGGGTTCCACCCGAACGACCCACGCCCGAGGTACGGCGAACGCCCTCACGACATCGAGGAGTACCTCCGACGTTCCCCCTCCCCAGTGTCGTCACTCCGCCGTGAAGCCCGCTCCCCATCGCCACGACGTTCAGCCTCCCCAGCGCCACGATCCCGCCGAGAGAGCCTGTCTCCCCTGCGTCGTCGGGAAAACTGAGTGCGGCAACGCCTGGAGGTGACGTTGCCGAAAACGACGGAAGCAAACAGCCTCCAAGAACGCCGGAGCGCTCCCACTCTCTCGACGCCCCGCATTGCACCGACGCGCCTGCGACGGTGTCCAACAACCTAAATGTTGTTATCGATGGCCAAAACGCATCGGCACTCGTTGACACCGGGGCAGACTACTCAGTATTGAGTGGGAGGCTCTCTCGCCACCTTCGAAAAGTCACGACGCCGTGGGATGGACCGCAGATACGAACCGCCGGAGGACACCTCATCACGCCTGTCGGAAGGTGCACCGCTCGCGTCGAAATTCACGGCGAGACGTGTCCTGTGAAATTCGTCATTCTACAAGACTGTTTGTCTTGTAGAATGACGTGTGGAGCACGACTTGCACAATAGAACTTAACAATACCGCATTGATTCAACATGCATAAAATCACCAACTCTTGTTAATTCTTGGCACAAATTAGGTGAAACACCCAGTATATGCACATAATTTATGTATCAAAATCAGATCTCAGCTTAGTATTTCTGCAGGGTGTGCAAGCTCGGCTACTTTAAGGACAACACCACCATGTAGAACAACTGTCTTTTAATGGCGTGTGGGTTATACAGGGACAGAATGTGTAGAAATTAAGTATATCGTGCCTCTATTATAAACAAAATGCAGCACATATACATAATAAGTCCTTACAGCAGGCATCTTATTGAAAGAAATATCATTTGCATGCACCATGCCACTGCATTGCAGACCCAGTAAAGTCTCTGAAAAGAATGTGAACACCTTTAATTTCACATATGTCAGCCTCCTTTGCAATACCGTAATAGGAAGCGAGGATAAAAGTTAATCACCAATAAAAACAGTTCTTCAGCAATTCTAAGCACAGATTTTAAAGGTACCTCAGATTGAAAGCAGCGCACAACAGATTCTAAAATTTATTTGCAGGAGATACTCTAATGTGACTAGATTTTCGGGCAATTTGGAAATGTACTGATTCCTCTAAAAAATGGAATGAACAGTGATCAAAACATTAAAAAAAATGATTACCCAGCCCAATTTTTTTTTTCCATTTTTAAATTTTGTTAAAATGTTTAACACTGAAAGACTAGATGCACGAGCAAGAAACCTGGTTGTGCAACATTTCAGCACCTTGTCAGAAATAAGAGGACAAAAAAGTAGGCACATTGGCAAATTTAATTACCATTTAAACCAGTATCCAGAAGTAGCACGAAAAACAAGAAAAAAAAAACAATTCTGAGTCAAGTAAACTGCATCTGCATCAAGCACAAGTACTCCCCGACATAAAAACTTATCCCATAAAACAATAAACACACAGGCTGTGCATAACATGAAGAGGTTGTAAGAGGACATTTCCATCTGATAACTACCTATGCCTTAAAATAGAGTACTCTCATAACAACCCACATGCATGAGGCACTTTTTGCAGAGCACAAGCAATCTATATGTGCCTAATTAAATTTAAAAACACAGTCAAGGCCAACATTAGTTGTTCTAAGAAAAGCAAGATGCCGAAGGTTTAAGCAGGACAATATTATGGGTGTACTACAAGATGCAGAAATTATTAGTAGTGTCTCAGCAAAGAAGGTGCACTATTCACATTATGAAACCTGACACTCTTTTAGCAATCAATGCATTTTAACTTCATGAAAGTAGATTTCACTCAATTCAGGCACACATTTGTTTCGAAAGTCCTTTTTAAACAAATATTCTGGAAATATTTAAAAACTTTCAGCTTTAATTAGGGTAAGAACTTGATGCCTCTTAATATGTCAAAAGTTCCAGCACTTTGCCTTTTTAAAGAAATTGAAGACAATGATAACAGAGTACAGTCAATTATAGCGATACAGAAAAAAACACGCACACACACAACTCACTGCAGAGTCCATTCAACAGAGTTACATGCACGCAAATGCATGTCCTTAGATGCATAAAACATTTTATTTGTCTAAAGATTTCATTCGAAACAGTATAACTACTTATGTACAGGCAAACAAACAAAGACATGTGACTGCAGTCTTTTTTTCAGACCTGCAGCAGTCTTATTGCTCGCGCAATCAAAAACGACGCAACTCTTAAAATCTGAATGCAAATTGATCCATTTTGCTCGTCAGCATTAAAACAAAAAGTGCACTCTTATTAATGCATTCTAAAATAAAAAAAAAAAAGGTTAACATTGTGAATGCGTAACAAGCGGTCAAATGCTGATGCTACCGGAGCATACCAGAGGTCCAAAATGTCTTCTCTGCCGACGTCGCATTCAGTGTCGCCTTTCACTTGGTCTCTGTGCTTGTAACACGAGTTGGTCAAAAGAAACAATCGAGTCCACTCTCCGACCAATGCGACGGCTGCGCACGACGTCGGGGAACGGATGTACGGTGTCACCTCGCCGTGCAGCAAGCCGTGAATGCTCTCATCAACTTGCCTTCATCCTGGGAGGGTGTGGATCTTCCACTGGTTCCCTGGTGGTCACACAATAAGAGTCGGGCATTAAGGGCACACATCACTGGCAAGTCTGAAATCTCAAAAAATTTACGAAAGGATTTACATTACATCACGAAACTGTTAATGCATTTCTTAAATGGTCTGACCAAGAACCACCAAATGAGCTACGCTTTGAAGTAACGTTTCCTCGGCCATAGTGTCCACAACATCAGTGTTGCAAGTAGCCACCAGCTTTCACCAGTGCCTTACAGAAAATGCAGTGTGCTTTGCCATCATCCTGCTTGCCAAGACAGTTCACTTCAAGCGAGCAAAAAAAAGCACTGCTAGGGTACCCTACATAATTAATTCAAAGGAGAAAACAAATTTTGCTGAGCTGTATTGTGTCTGTGATGTACTGGTACATAAGCAGGCTCAAGGGTTATCCTCACAGCCTCATCGTGAAGAGAAGTCACAAAATACACGCTCGGGTCTAAAAGCGGCTCGACGGCCGCTTTTAGCTCAGCCTGTCGAGCCTGTGTCAGAAAAACAACACCTGAAAAGTGTTTGTAGCTACATTTAAATTAAATTAACCTCGTGATCGACTTTTCACTCCATGAATGAACCATATGGTGAGTGATGAGATAGCTTGCATATGACATAGTATTGGCTTCAGAAGAGATAGATACAAGGTAAACCTATTTGAAAGTAGGTTGACCAATCATAAAGAAAGCCTCTGTGTGTACTTTGCCACCAGAGCACAACGTGCCCGCTTAAAAGAGTGACCCGCTTTAGGAGATTGAGCAAACGTTATACCCAGCACTAACCAACCACCCCTCTCTCTGTAGCTTCAATTTATTTATTTATTTACGAGCCCTCAGGGCCCTCGCAGTTCTGAGGGTACTTGCAAATATATAAATAAATAAACAAAGAGTGACCTGCTCTGGGACACTGGACATCACATGCCCAAAAGAGTGATCTGCTTTGAAAGGCATTGCATCTAAACTAAACACTGGACCTACTTTGAGACACTGAACATAACGCACCCAAAACAGAAACTTGTTTTCAGACATGTGAGCATGACATACCATATTTTCCCGTGTATAAGACGTACCCCCCACTTTTCGCAAGTTTCTAAGTGAAAATTAGCATATAAGATGCACCTGTGTATAATATGCACCGCCGAAAATTTTGGAAAAAAAGTGTGTCTTATACATCGGAAAGTATGGTACTCAAAAGGGTGGCCCCGACTTGGGATGCTAAGCGCATATTCAAAAGAGTGACATAGAGAGTGCAACACTATGTATCCAAAAGAGTGACCTCCTTTGAGGTGCCAAGCATGGTGTTCTACTTGAAAAAAAAAAAATAACCTGCTTCGAGACATCCGAGTAGCAAATTGTTTATACTGCCGGAAATTAGTCTGCCTCGATGGGTGTCTGGTGTCTCAGCTGTAAGCGAGGAATCTAGCCAGTGCAGTAGATACATGACCCCACGCTGGTACAATGCTCATCCAGATCGAGACGGGCAGGGGTGGGGATTGAACCCAGGATCCCGGGGTTCTGCGGCGCAAGCTTTCGCTCCCCGTGCTCCGAGCTGGTGTGCGCCAGCTCACACAAATGCCGGGAGATTGGCCACCGATCGCCCCACATCCGAGTAGAATGTACAGTTGGCTGCAAGGGTTTACGGGACACGGGAACGCCTGCCAAAATGCGCCCCTGCGCCTTCTTATGGAGCGACGCAAATCTCAAGAAGCACGCTTTGCGCGTGCACGTCATTTCGTGCTCATGGCCGTGTTTTTTACACGCTTTTGTCCGATGCGCACGAGATAGCTGGGATTGGTGCAAGATGCCTCTTTGCCAGCCGTCATTCTGTGCGTCTCAGTCACCGCGATGGGCGACAGAGCTCGCATGCTCCAGGCATCATTTCGGGGCACCTTGTGCCGGTCCCCGTTGTCTTCTGCGCGTTGGACGGAAGCTAGTAAAAAAGACGCAACAGTGAGCACGGAAGGAAGTGCATTCTCGAAGCACGAGTCTTGAGAGTGGCCATGTGCCTTCAGAAGGTGCAGCAAGTCCTCTTGGCTGGAAGTCCCGTGTCCCACAAACTTCTGCTGGCGATTGTTCATAAAGAGTGACATGCACGCCTTGGGACAATGAGCATTGTACCCTAAAGGGTGACCTGCTTTGGGACAGTTTGACCTATAGATTGTATTTGAAAATACCCTCTTCTCTGACAAAATCAAACAGCTCTTACATACTTTATGGGAAAGCAAATAAGCAGAACCCCATTCTCGCAAAAACAACCTCTTTTAAAAAAAATAAGGTAGCCTGGAATTTAACTTTTTTGTACAACCTTGCCTGCTTTGAAATGCAATATTGCATCCAATGTCTACTTTATAAAGCCTTTCGAGAAAGAATATAGTACTGAACAAAAAAGTGAAAGGTTCCCAACTTACATGCCTGTAAAGAACAGAGAGATATGCGCAATGGCCTGAGTGTACAAAAAGACACGAAACTAACGTAAGAACTGTAATTGCTTCTCCTCCATATAAGAAAAATATTTGTAGTAACAAGATTCGAGTGACATAGGGATCATTTTGATGCTGATATTGACAGTGCTCGAGAAAAAATACCTCTTCATCTATAATTAGTAATAAGCAATAAAGTGACCTCGGAACATTTGGAAACTTACATTTGCATTGTGCCCACAGAACTGTTTTTGCACACAGTTTCTGTTTTCACGTGGCAAGACTTGTGGCAAAGCAAGTTGCATCCTGGGAGCAGAAAAAGATTACGAGAAGATATTAACGGGGGTTTAAAATTGAAAAGGGTATTTGAACCTAATTAAAATAAAGACTACACGAAAAAAAAAAAAATGCTGCGCAATATCTCTACAGTAAAAACTAGCAGCCATACTGAAACTATGAATGAACTGTAGAAAAGTTGAAGTATGCCTTCAATAGTGGTGGGACAGGCTGTTTAGATACCGATATTAATGGAGATACGATGCGGTCAGGTTTTCACCGAAAAAATGCTCGCCATAGTAAAAACAAAAATGATACATACAGCTATATTAAGGATCTCTTCTTTCGTTTTTGTCTGTCATCTACGCAGTATGTCACCACAGATTTTTTGTGTTATTGACTTCATCCTGGCTTTTAGTATCATTGACTTAATCGTCAGGACAGCTCTTCAAAATAAAAATAAATTGCATCAAAGAATCGAGGAGGTCCTGAAATGTCAAATTTTGGTCTAAATTTATTCAGCTTTGAGTAAAGTTACGCCTTTTAGTCAAAGGGCTATGTACCTCTTTGAAGAAATATCGACATCAAATAATATGTCAAAAAATAGGATATGTATGGTTCTCTTCACTTTGACACTGCAAGCTCAGAAATAAAAGGCGCGCTCACCCCTACACACGTAGCCTTGCTTTCCTAGCCTTCGTGTGAGTAGCCTCGCACAGATGTGACATGCAGTCCCCCTGCAAAAAGGAAGCATTGTGTTTGTCAAGAAGGAGCTCTCCAGAGCCCATGACGTGTGGGAGCGTCCCAATTTTAGCAAAGTGTTCCGCTATTTTGTTGGAAGTTTACCGTGGGTTTCCTGGAGCCTACCCCTAGTTGCACGATTCTAATGTGCAACTCTTTTTTCCCCAAACAATGCACCGTAAATTATATGCGCATAACAATCAGACCCAAAGAGCAAAATTAAACGAAAGCCTCGGTCGGTATCGGAAGGACAGCCCCATTGATGTGGACGTAACATGCTGCGGTGTTAACATTAGGTGGCACAAACTATTGCCCGATACAATGGGTGCAGTAAATATCAACCATCCATCGCATGTTGTCAACCATCACTTGCACGTTTTCGCATTCGCCACTTTTATTTTCAAAAACATGGCTCCAATGGCATGTTGCGTTATTCCTGCAAACCCACGATTGTCTTTTAAATGCCTCCAACACAGACTCCCCGCCTTTTACCGAGCTTTGGCAGCACACTCCAAGCTCACCAGACGTCAAAGTGTTATCAAAGGTAGAAAACTCGGGCTAAGAACTTTCTCATTTGCAAGGAAAAAAAAGTTATCTTCATTACAACGTTTCTTTTAAGTTGACACACCCCCTAGGAGGGTGGTCATGCTAGAGGATGCATAACAGAATTTCAGGTCTGTTGGTTAAGTGGGAAGGAAATTAGGGCAGCTTTTATCAGCAAAACGCCTACATTGTTTAGTTAATCTAAAATATCACAATATTCAAGATTTTTATTCGCTCAATACGTAGCAGAATGCCTAGGAAATGCGGCTATAAAAAGCTTTTTGTAAAAAGACTTATTTCTATCAGTCTTCTCTTCCGCAAAATTCATCAACTTTTTCGTCTTCTGTGTCTTCGACAAAATGTCAACATTTTTTACGAAAGACATCCATAAAGTGACAAACTCCATAGCCGCAATGCTTATTAAATTTCCGTCAGGAAAAGGGAAGAATGAGCCCTCCCTGTATTGCAATTATCGAACGATAGATTGACCAAAATGGAACTTTTACCAAAAAGTGGAATGGAGAAAAATGTGTGCGCTCCAAACCCTACCTTTTCTTTAGCTTCTGTGGACAGAAATAATTTATAAAAAATTAACTATGCAGTGTAGACTGGTGAAAAGTTCTGGGAATACTCTGGATTTTGGTGGATAGAAATATGTAATTTTTCAAAATCAATGTTTTTTGCACAATATTTGTTTTGCTGGGTAGTGTGTCCCCTTAAGCAAAAAGTAATCGTCCTGGGAGGAAAAAAAAATTAATTGAAGCAGGACTGCACGCTCTGGACGTTGTGGTCTAGGAATGGTGGGAAACGTCTTCTCGAGACTCCGACAAGGCCTAGTATTCTGTTCACGACATTGGCAACACAGCAGGTTTCTCCCACTAAACTAAGAACCAAAGAGTTAAGTGAAAGAAAAAAAGAAGCGAGATGCTACGAATATGCGAGAACCTGTGGGACACCAGGCTCCTGAGGAGCAAACCATTCGGCCTGCACAAAATACCGTTTCACTATCGAAAAAGAAGGCGTATCCTTCCTTCTCATGCCACATCTTCGCGACCAGAATGGCAACCTTAATTTGCTGGAAATACCAGAATGACCAGAACAGCTACGATGTGCGAGCGATAATAAGCTCTCCCGCTCACAATGCAGGCAGACAAAAGCGGCGTGTTGGTTAAATGGCATTCCCCGATTAAATAAATGAATCCCGCAGTGATAGAGAAGCAGCTGCTCTACTGGAAGGATGCCTTTACACCTTTGGACTTACCCAGGCAGATGTTTTGCCACAAACACGTGGTCGTTGTAGATGTGCAGCTTCACGCCTTTCCTCCGCCACTTGCTTCGGTGGGCCAGAGACGGGGGAATCAGGTAGTGCCTGCCGAGAGAGCAAGATTGCGTTGGCAAGCAAAACGGGACAACGAGGCATCTGTGTCACAGACAGGGCAACACTACGCTACCAGTAATTACCCTGTGAGACACAGTTTTAGTTTGGACCGATCGAAAGTATGCAAGGTGAACTATGAAGTATTGCGTCTAAAGTATACAACCAGAAGCTAGTCATGTGCAAATGGTGGATATTTTAAGTTTTAAGCGAATTCAAAGCAAATACTGGTTTTAGCCGAATATTTTAGAATGGAATATCAAACAGTTTCTCCAAGCATTTCACTACTGCACCATGCTTAAACGAAAACAGAGCTGAACTTGTGAAGGTTGTTCCTGAGCTTCTACTTGTTAACTTTGAAGCTCAGTTATTTTTAATGTAACTATATTTATAAACTGCGGCACAACAATGAATTTCTTGCCGTTATCCTAATCGAGGGGATTTCTAAATTTGCTTGCTATATGCAAATAATTTCTTCGATTACAAACTTGAGAAAAAAAATTAAACTTGCCTCAATCATTTTGATAAACCGAAGGAACAATAAATGTGTAGTGCATGTGTTAAGCCTGCGTTATGATTTTGCTATGCTTGGCTGCAGGGAGCTTTAAATGGTAGGAATGGGCGAATATTCAGTTATTACGAATAGCCAATCGAATTCTGTTCTATTCGACATTCGCTTTGAATCGAATTATTCGACAATATAAAATTATTCGACCTTTCTAAATACAGTCAAACCAGACAATATCGAACCCGTTTACATCGAATTATTCCTTATATTGAACAATTTTTGTGCACAGTAATGTTACAGCGATAATATATGGCAAAAACTATGGTTACATCGAACAAAAATAGCAGCTGCTACCGATATATCGAACTGCCAAGAGCGCCGTTTTGCTCTGCAAGCTGGCTTTCCCCCAGAAGAGAATATTATTTTTTTTAAACAAATAATATTCTCTTTTGCGGAAAGAGCGGGGAGAGGGAGCGCGAAGCACCCTCTCTCCGCTCCCTCCGTAAAATATATTTTTTCTTCCGGGCGGTCGACGCGGCCGCCCGGAAGAAAAAGAAAAAAAAAAAAAAGCCAGCGTGCTCTGCAAGCTGGCTTTCCCCCAATGCGGCTGCTTGCGTTGGGGGAAAGCCAGCTTGCAGAGCAAAACGGCGCTCTTGGCAGTTCGATATATCGGTAGCGGCTGCTATTTTTGTTCGATGGAACCATAGTTTTTGCTATATATTAACGCTGTAACATTACTGTGCACAAAAATTGTTCAATATAAGGAATAATTCGATGTAAACGGGTTCGATATAGTCTGGTTTGACTGTATTTAGAAGGGTCGAATAATTTTATATTGTCGAATAATTCGATTCAAAGCGAATGTCGAATAGAACAGAATTCGATTGGCTATTCGTAATAACTGAATATTCGCCCATTCCTACCATTTAAAGCTCCCTGCAGCCAAGCATAGCAAATCATAACGCAGGCTTAACACATGCACTACACATTTATTGTTCCTTCGGTTTATCAAAATGATTGAGGCAAGTTTAATTTCTTTTGTCAAGTTTGTAATTGAAGAAATTATCGCCCGGAAGAAAAAAAAGTACACCATCTTCCCGAGGGGAACCATGGGGTGATGCGGAGCATCGTTCCATCACACTTCATCGGAAGAACGGAGTGAAGTGGAGTCAACAGCGGTGAACTGAACGCGAGCAGAAGTTGGTTTGCTCTTTAGGTTTATACAGCCTTGATGGAGATGCGCCTCAACGGGTAACCGGTCTCTTAGCTGTAGATGAGAAATTTAGCCAGTGCAGTACAACCGCTAACCTGGGATTCTTAACGTGCATCACGCAGTAGTGATCACACGAACGCGTGCCGGTACGAAGTTCATCCAGATCGAAACGGGCGGGGGCGGCGGGGATCGAACCCAGGAGGTTCCCAGCGCAAGCTTTCGCTTTACGCTCCGAGCTGAGACGCGTTAGCCCACTCGGCCACTTCCTCCCCTTGAACGCGCGCAGCGCGCTACCGCTGCTTATATTCACACTTGAAGGAGAGGAAACTAGAGGAGGAGAGTTGCGCATGCGGTGTGAGTAGAAGCGAACGCACGCGAAGTGCACGCAGATGGTAGAGAGAGAGAAAGCGGAGAGAATAACGCGCAGCTGTTGGAGAGAGGGAAGGAGGAGTGTTGCACATGCGTGGTGTGAGTGCGGACTACGACGCCGCGGGACATAGGCCCGAGCAAGAGATGCTCCGCATCTAAAAGTTAGCTTGCTCTGCTAGCCGGCTTCCCCCAACGCACAACCGTTTTAGGGGAAAGCCAACTTGCAGAGCAAAACGGCGCTGTGCAGGTGCTCCTGCTCGGACGTGCTCCGTGCTCTCGGCGTAGTTAGGCGCTAATGCGCGAATATAGAAAACAGCGGCCTCAGCATTTTGGAGTCCGTCGACAGCGTAGAAATATATATCTATCGCGGATGCAATGCAGCAGAAGATGCAAGTCTACTTCATTTTGTAATATTTCACCAGAAAGTATTTTTGAGAGCGGAATTCATTAAAACTTTTATATCGAATTACCCGCTATATCGAACTGGTAGACTTTTTTTGCGAGTTCGATATAAACGGGTTTGACTTACTCTGGCTTGGATTTCCGGCCAGGTGACGCAAGCTTCCGACCCATTCCGTGCTTCCGAACTCAATACACTTGAAATTAACAATTACGGTACTTCTAATACCAAATAAGGGCAAATATAAAACTATAGTTAAAACATATCTTGTGGTATTTGTTGCTTGTACTATTCAAACTATTCGATTCAAAATTATTCGGTCAAAAAAAACTGCGCTTTGAATTCGATTCGGATTCAAAATCCTCTATTCGCTAATGCCTATGGTTTTGGATGTGCTGCACACACGACACTCATTATCTTGGGGTTTATCAGAATGATTGGGACAAGCTTAAATTTCTTCAAGAGTAGGAGGTGTCACGAGCACATTTTAATGAGATGTTTTCCATGGGTTCTGCTTCTTTGGTGGGTGCATGTAGGGCCTTAAATTCTCAGTACTCTCAGAATTTTAAGAGTCCCTTGTGGCAACTGAAGTTAATCGCGAGGCGAGGATGTTTACTGTGCCCTTTACTCTATCAATCGATTCTTGTCTGAAGTTCCGACGTCGCATGTCCACTGCACTATCCCTTGAAACATTACGATTCCACCCCTTGTCGGGAATCAGCTGCGCATGCTGACAGTCTTCTGCAGCAGCAAACTTTGCTAAACTAGAATCCTCACAGAGTTTGCTCGACTGTACTTGTTGCTTACAAAACAACAGCCTAATCATCTGAGATTCATATCCCTGGTGTGGGTTTACTCTTTTGCTTCGAAGGCCACTTCTTCGATGTCGCCCTGTTGGCACTCTGCGCTCACTGCACCACTGTCTCAGGCGCCCGCCCCTGGCTGGTGCTCACCCGATACCACGCAGAAGAAAAGGGCCCGGACCTTTCCCCCGAACGTTATCGCACGAGGATCCACGCAGCGTCATTTAGCTCGCTTCAGCACCGCCGACAGCACATCTTCCAGTGTCTCACTACAAGCTCGACGCTAGCACGTGGCGACGCCAAGACGGACGCGTCTGCCATCTCGCGGCATTTTTCGAGTTTCAGCATGTTTGCCACTTGGGGTGGGACCCACTAACGATGACGTCACGTGCGGGCCTCCTTTTCTCGATGGCGTTTGCTCACCTGAGCACCCCGTCCTCCTTTGCCTCCACAACGAGGAGCGACTTGTCGCTGACAAAGGTCCGGCTCGAAGCTGCGCTGATCCCAGAGCCCTCGCTGATGCTACTCCGCGTGCTGCCATTGTTGCGGGCACCTGGAACGTCAAAAAAGCACCCAGTGAATCAACATGGTTCCTGACTGAAATGAGTCAAGGTCAAGTTAGGCTTTTTACCAGTGGCATAATATAATTGATTAGTACTGTAGACAATAAAGCCTGATTCACACACTTGCGATTGCTTAGGAGTCTGTGCCTTAAAACTACTTCAAATCTTTTATGACGAGCAAACACACTGGTGGCGTCTATTGGGAAGCTGTGAAACACTTGGCATTTCGGTATATTTCTTTTTTCTTTTTTTTTTTTTTCAAGCATCATTCTTTCTTTCTTGGTTTGAAAAACTTATGACATTGCTGTAAATGACCATTTTTCACAGGGTGTCCCCCTCAAGAAATTGCAGGGTTTTTTCCGCCGCTAAACTAAAGTATGCATCGCCAAATGCCCATTCTCCAAGTAAAGCTAGGAGTGCTATAAGTCCGTACCAGATGCCAAAGTTTCAGCCCGAACCTATACACAAACTCATCTCTGTTACGTCACGGCGCGGTGGTGGCGCGTCAGTCGCACTTCCGGTCTGGAACTGTGGGCAGAAGTCCCTATGCCAGACATGTATTCCTGCATTGTTTTGAAAGGAACCAAACAAAAAACCTGCCTTCTCGTAAAAAAACTGCGACTGGGGCCGTACCAAAAGTGTCGAGAAAAGTTTGAAGGTCAGTTTTCACGTGCTCGGTTCGTCCGAGGATCTGGATATGTGCCGTGAAAAGGGCAAAGCAGACGCCGTCGGACAAAGATTGCTTAAGTGGGAAGCACTTTGGGTTGAATTCACGGATACTTGTGGTCATCAGATTTATTTGTTTTGTTCCAACATGAACGCGAGAAAACCGTCAAGTTGTGCGGACCACCTGCGGATTACGTTCAGTGCGTCTTCAAGTTCAAACGGCCTTCTGATCATTTGAGCTGTCCTCTGCTCTTTCAAACGTTTCTGCTTGTCGTCTGCTCTCTTAGACGACGCCGGCCCGTAGACCAATGGTGGCGCGGTACTTGCGATAAGAAGTAAGTGCAGGCCTCAAAAGACTTAAATTTGAAGGTTGGTAAGCAGGCTCGATGTAAACAGTAGATACAAGGAGATGTTGACCACTGTTACCAGGGACCATCACTGACTTGCTATGCCTAAATGACTTAATCCGATCCTGCTTGCGATTTTCAGTATCGACGTCAACCATCTCAGCTACGGTTCACGCTTTTGCAGCCCGAGCGGCGTCGCGACTGAAAATTGCGAGCAAAATCTCATCATGTGAACTTAGCATTAGCGTACATACTGCGGCGTCCACGCGGAATGAATCGCCACATGTCACATTATTCACGCTAAGTTTTGCGGTGTAACGAGCCTCGGTAATTTCGCTGACGCCGCTCAAGTAGTCGGACATCGCCAGGAGGACGTAGAATCAACAATTTGAACGCGAAGAAGAGCACGGGGACTCACACCGACGCCGGCAACATTGTATTTCAATGGTTTTTTATGGGCAATGGCGAGCTTCTTGCCCACACCCCCATTGCGCATGCGCGGCGGCGGTGGCGTCCGCTAGGGGCGCTCCAGTTTGTTTGTAAACGTGAGTTGGTGTATAGTATGTCTCGTCAAAAGTTTTAAGTGATGTTCTAAAAAATTCAATGGGAAAATGGAACCTATTTTTGCCCGTTTACGGTTTCTGGCGCCATAGAGCTCCATGTATTCAAAAGCTCCGTCGGCCGCCATTTTCCCTTTGAAATTTTCAGAAAATAACGTAACTTTTGAATAAAATATTAGCTTGGGCTGAAACTAGGGCACCTGGTTCTGATCTCAAGTGCTGCCTTTGGGTGGAGAAATGAGCGTTCGGCGATGCATAGTTTACTTTTGCGGTGGAAAAAACCCTGCGAATATTTGTGTGGGACACCCCGTATAAATATTTGTTGCGACAAATACCACGAAACCTTCGCTCTAGTAAAATGCAGTTCGAGGGTCCCCTCGTACATGACGTAGCGTGATCTCTCGTCGTACAAGAATGCAAGAACTCAGTTGTAAGGGAATGCAAGTGTGTGAACGAGCCTTTAATTTCTGCAAAAACCCCAGTTTTGCAACTCGAAAGATATTGCAAAACATTTATGGCATAAATAGACCGCACGATGGTAACAAATATATCACGCAACACTCCCAGTAGCGAAATTTTGTGCTTGCAAAATATTCCCGGAACCAACACTTTGCGAAATACATTAAAATTGAGCCCACGAAAATAGTGGTTTGTAGCAAATAAGTTCCAGCTTCAGTGACTCATTGCTTCCAAAGCAACAATGCGAGCAACTGTAGCCTAGTGACATATCTGTAGCAAATTATACAAATACATTTTAGAATTATGTCGATGAATATAGAGGCATTTGTGCCGATTTAGTCTCAGCGTCAGCAACACACATTATCGCCTCCTCAAGCTCTACTGTGAGCGGAGTGCTGCATAAAAACAGAACTGTCACAATATTTTTTCAGCACTCGAAATTAAGTCACTGGTCAGCACTAGCAGCACAGCCGGATGTTGTAGGAGATATTGTAACAAATTCTTGTCTTAACGGGACAAATGTACCCAAGTAATAAGGAATTAAATGACACACTTACACCTTGGGCATAATACATATGGTAGAAACCAATTCTGCAGTATTTTTAAACTTTCAAAGCGCTGCAGCATGTTCTCAACACACAGTTAGAAAAAAAAGCTTGCCCGTGACAAGTGCTTAATGTTGTGCCTATGCAACGATATAGAAATCACTCGAGCATTTTTGAAACAAAGGAAATATTTTGGCAGTGGCACATACCTGGAACATCCAAGTGAGAGTTTCCTGAAGAAAATGTACAAAACTGGTTATCGCAACTGAAGCATGAAGAAAACAAACGACATAAGAACCTATGGCACAGACAGAGGAAAAAAGTGTAATATATAATTGTACCGATTGAGCATGCAAAGTCAAACTGGTGTCAGAGTTGCATTTGTATGTTTGAGGAAGGTATTTCCCATTTGGTAGTCAAAACAAGCACCAAATTATTGATTTATAGCATACCAATGGGAATAAGTATCTCTACAAGCGAGATCACAGTTAGAACAAAGAGACAAAGTTTTCCCCATCTTTTCCACAACACGAGGACAGCCAGTGAAATTAGGTACGGAAGAGTCGGAATGTGCTTGCATATAGCATCCATTTGACCGGTAAGAGTGGGCTGTTTGATGCAACCTTGTATTGTATTATGTGAGAATGTGGCAGTGCAGGTTTGGTTCATGCTAACTATCATCTAGTAGTTAAGAGTAGTATGTGCACATGCAATAACTACCTTCTGGAGAGAAAATAAAATTATTTGAAGCCACACAGAAAGGTAAGACTCTACCAATCCAAAGGTCTGGAGAAGCACATAAACGAGGCACATGTGAGCAATTGACATATCAGCAGGTGATTTCACCCTAGACCACTTCTATGGTGGACAAGAAGTATCAACTTGCGATGACATAAAGGCAGCATGCATAGAACTGATCTGCAGTGTGAGTTCTGCCTAGAACGTCCGACCAATGCAAGATATTTTAGGCCTTACCTTTTATGCAACAACATCTCAGAAATGCATGAGGAATAAAACGAGAATGATTTCAATTACTTCCATGCTCGGGGCGAAGGTTGAAAATTATGACACCCATGCAAAACAACTGCAATACCCATAACTTGCATAATCGAGTTTAAAGAGCTGCATGAGGGTGCATCATTAAAAAAGCTGCCATTTCCTCGGTAATATCCATTAAAAAATTATAATGAGAATAGAGGCTTTATATTGCATTACTATAAAATTTGCATACACGGAGCCATTCTCATTTTTGTTTTGGGAAATACATATATGTTTAATTTACAAACACTATATTCACGAGTGAAAAAAAAAGATTATATACCCTAGTCCTTGCCATCTTTGTTGCACATGCAATAATGGCTTGTCTGATTGAAGGTAAGTTTTGTATGTTATTCATTAAACAAAGCCAATCAGCTAAACTAAACCGTGGAACAATGGTACACCAAACGTGACTGCACAATCAATAATTACCCCCATGAATACGGGTTTTAATGGTAACACAATATTGCTCCACTTTTCCCAGTGAGATTTCAAACTGCCGATGGAAGAACTTGCGAAAAATGTCGCCATACCCCATGGTGCAGCTTTTTCATAGTAGAAGTAAGAAAAAAGAGGGTTGTGCACAAGAGGTTTTGTCCCGTGCTGAAAAATCAGAATGCTTCGAAACACAAGTGCAGTTAGTACAACTAAGCGGGGACAAACTTCTGTGCAGTCAATACTTTACAAACATTTTAGTATAAGAATTGCTTTCGAAACACCAACGTTACTGGATCGGCAAAGCTGACAAGCTCAGAGAGAAAAGTGCCGCGCTGTCATTCACTGCTGTGTCAAAAATGATGAAACTCATCATTTTTGTTTGGGTTCACAAAGTGTATTACCAACAACTGCTGCCAGTGTGATAATGTCTGGATTGGGACATTTCCTGGGACGTTTGAGGTAAATTCACGCCCTTCAGGCTTGCATAGTGTTGCTAATGTTCAACGTTCAGCACCGGAGCAGGCAAGCTCGAAGAAATGGCTGCATCTGGCTGCATTTTTCGTGGTTTCCTGCACAAGAACCGTTGTATTTTGGTCGTTTGCAAACTGAAATACCGGGAATGTCCCTCTTCTGGTGTTCTGTGTTTGTGTCCGAAGCTTAAGCATAAACTGCTGCATACAGTCCAAATCCACTACAGGAAAGAATGCCAATTTGAAGACGTCTTCATCACTTGAAGGAATGAGGCTGTTTTTGAACTTTTATTCAGCTACGTCGAGGCCTACTACTGAAACATCTGAGGTAGTGGAAACGGCTATTCCTCTCGTGTGTTCTTTATGTAACAACCCTGGTCCCTTGCG